GGGGGGAGGGGTTGGTTTTCATCTATTTGTGTGAACTCTTCATATATTAAAAGTGACTGACCCCTTCTGTTATGAAGAGGAGAAGACATGTTCCCCCCGACCTGGACAGCTGCTGCCATCACCCAGGGGGCCCAAGCTGAGCGGCCCGGCCTCACCCCGTGGCTGGAATGCTTTCTGCTCTTCCTGTCATTGGGGCCCTAGGAGAGTTTGTCCTGCAGGTGTATCTGGTGATATTTGCCATAGATGTTAAGACAGTAATTCATCTTAACATAACAGGAACAAGCCCATTACATGTTAACATAAATAACATTTATATAAAAAAGATTTTCTGAACAAAAAATAATTTGTGAGAAGAATGGCATTGTGTCAACATTTTTTATGAATTGTGTTGAAGTTGACTTTGCCGATAACATCCGGGACCTCACCCCTTGGGGTGTGAGAGGCAGAGTGGCCTTGCTGGACACCACAGCCTCTCTGGAGAGGCATCTGCCCCCGCCCCTGCCCCAGAGTGGTGAAGTTCTTTACTCTGCACCAGCTACACAGTGACCTTCGACTTGACTGCCATGTGGGGTCCAAGCCACAGCCTCATCTCTGCTCGCAGAGAAACTTGGGCCAGTGCAGAGCGTTGGTGGCAGCACACTCGAGTCCCTCAGACCGTGGTCACAGGCCATGTGGGTGTCCAGGCACCTGCACACCTCACCCTGGGGTAGATGGCGCCCTTGTCAGAAACCTGGGCATCAGAGGAGAAGCCTACAGGTGGGACAGGGTCAGGCTGAACTTTTCTCAAAACCTTAAATCGTGTCATCAACACCCAATGCTGCCTGTCAGTCCACTGAGGGGCTCGTCTCACCCCATCATGAGGAACGCCCATCAGCCGCCCAAGCCTGCGTGACTCTGCCTGCTGCTGTCTGTTACAAAGACAGTGCTCCACAGGAAGGAGCAGCAGCTCAGCTGGCAGCCAGCAAAGCCCCTGTGCACACTCCCAACTCATCTCCTAAACCCTAAAGTCCCATTTCCCAGGCTCTTGGTTCCAAGAACATGATCGCTTTCATGCTTCATGGACTGCGACTCTGCTAGCCCTGAGTGTGTGGCCACCACACGGCTCCCGCCCAGTACCCACAGATCCCTCACTCGGGCAGCTCTTACACCATCAGCACCTCCTCAACATTGTGAGGACAGCCCACAGCATCTAAGTGTTGTCATGAATAACACAGACCCACTACCGCCCCCCTGGGACCCCCAAGCCTGCACCTACCTCAGATCTAGGCCAAACCAGAGTGCTTGGGCTGAAGCAGAGCACCACCCAGAGACTCAGCGGACGGCTGCTGCTGTGGATCTGTGAATAAATCTAGGAGCATAGCCTGCACAGATCAGGCTGGGGCAGGGAGGGCTGCACCATCCCCTGTGTGTGGCCAAGCTCCCGGGGTCCCAGTCCCACCTAACAGGGGCAGAGGCTCTGGGCCAGGCCACCCAGTGTGACTGGTCAGTGGCAAGAGAGCAGGCCTGTGCTCTGCCTCACCTCTGTGATACTTTAGTGTGAAATTTACTGAAAACTAGACGATGTAGAAGTCCTTTGTCCGCTCTTCCATACTTGTCTCTATATTTAACTTGTGCAGAGAAGGTCGAGTGGGAAGAACCACCCATCCCAAACATGTTAGCTCCCCCAAAGGGAAGGGTTATTTTCGTTGAATAAATCAATACCAAATAAAGCTGAGTTTAGCTTTTGAAAAGATGCAAATACACACAACCCTGGGCTGAGCCCCCTGGACAAGCCTGGAGGAGAGGTCGCTCTTTAATGGAACACAGCTAAGTAAGGGTGAGGATCCCTTTTCAAACTCGTGCCCAGAATTTAACTTCTGCTGTCCACAGATCCATGTGTAACATGCCAGTTGTGTGTGAAGTTGGTAAAGGAGGAGGTCTCCACTGTCCACCCAGCCCAGTGTTCAGTGAGGGGTGAGGACGTGCATCTTCTGCTATCACTGTGCCCTGAGCAGGCAGTGCCGGTGCTGAGCTCTCCCACAGAACACTCTCAGCACTGCCATGGTTTTAACTGTTCAGCTCTTTCTCTCTGATTTCAGTATTTTCTCCTTCTTAGGCATTTCTGTAGCAGCTGTCTCTGAGACGAGGCCAAGACTGTTCACTGTAACTTTAGGCCTTGTGTAGATGCAGAGACACCTTAGTGATGCCGCTGTTGTGGTGGGCATGAGTCAGAGTCGCTTTTCCCTGTAACTTGCTAAATCACCCTCCCTACTTAGTGCTTCTAGTGTGACTGTGTCACCAATACAAAACAGCAGGTAACCGGGAACAGTGACAGGGACCTGTTTACAGGTGAGAGCCAAGAGGGTCTACCTGCCCTGCCGCCCTCCAGGAGGACAGAGCTGACCAGCCCACGTGAGCCCCGTTGCCTCGAGGGCCTTCCCAAGCCTGTAGGTGTCCCTGTGTCAGCCCTGCCCTACAGGTGCCTCAGCTTTTTGCTCCCCATCCACGGTCAGCCTCTGGGCCAGGGCAGCACAACCCGCCTAGCCCTGCGTGCTTGGCCCTTGGACCAAGTTTTGTCAGCAGGGCCAAGTAGCCTGGCTGTACGCAAGTGGTCAGCTGCACAGACTGGCAGAGAGGCCACTGCTCACATCCTGTGGGAGGAACGGGGGTGGGGAAGCAGAGAGGAAGGGACGTGGCAGCTGCACAGGGAGCAATTGTTCCTTTTATCACCACTGCCATTAATTATGCTGATGACGCTGTGGGCTGTACAGGCCAGAGATAGGGCCCCTTGTCTGAGTCCACACCCTGGCGGGTTTGCTCACAGGTAAATCTACACACATGGTGCCCATATTAATCACCTTTGCACCTCGTGCCGGGGGGTAGGGGAGGTGATCGTAGCTCCACACTGACTTCCTGGGCCTGGCTGCAGCCAGCACTCACCATGCAGCTCTGGGGGTGTCAGAGGACCCTGCGCTGAGGAGGTGGGGCCTGCTGTCTGCCCAGGCAGGGACCCTCAGGCCCAGTTTTGTCCTCCTCTCTGTGTCTCCCTCCCAGCTGTGGACAGGATCTGAGGTCACCTCACTGGGTGCCCCTGTTCTCCCCTGCTGCTCCTCAGTGGACCCCCTCAGTCTGAGCAGTGATGGCCATCAGAGCCTGGTCCTGTGAACAGAGGGCACCTTGGGCCTCCTGCCAGCTTCATCAGGTGTGGGAAGTGGGGCCCGTTCATTTACAGATTTATTTGGGTCATGTTTTGTGCTATTCACGCCCAGAACTCAGCATTTACATGCAGCTTGGGCCCTGGGAGTGAGTCTACGGGGACCCTGTAGGCGTCACAGGGCAACCTCAGGTGAGCCCACCAGGCCTGCAGAGGTCACAGTGTCATGGGGTAAGTGGGCATTAACTGGTCATTTCCAAGAACAGGTAGACTTGGCCCTGTCAGTGCTTCTGTGGGAGGGGTGGTGGGTCTCTGGGGCTGTTCACCAGGCCTCAGAGGGAGGGCAGCAGGGCCCAGACCGGCTTCTCTTTTAACCACATCTGAATTAATTAAGTAAAGTAATGTTTGCCTACAAGAGGCCAGGGCCATAGAACTCAGTTACTCTGGAGGACAGGGCAGGGCAAAGGCATGTTCTTGAGCCCTAATCATGTCAAGGACAAGGTGGGCCACACGGCCTCCCTGGCAGGGCCAGGCCTGGGGAGGATAAGAGTAGCCCAGAAGGCCACAGAAACCACCTGAAAAATGAGTAATATTCTTTCCAGCTAAACCCAGCAAACATTTGACAGACTAAGATGCTGTAACAAATGGCTGCAGAAACTTTAGACTTGTGATATGAAGATGCATGCTAGACTTTTACTGGGGGATTTGCAGGCTCTGTTGAAGGCTGTAAGAGGCAGCATGTCCAGCCTGGGCAACGTAACAAGACCCCATCTCTACAAAAAATAAAGAAGAAAGAAAGAAATCAGCTGGCCAGATACTGGTGGTATCTGTGGTCCCAGTTACTCAGGAGCTGAGGCACAGGGATCACTTGAGGCCAGGAGTTTGCAGTGGCGGTGAGCTGTGATCTCACCACTTCACTCCAGCCTGGGTGACAGAGCGAGACCCCCATCAGAAAAAGTGGATAAATAGATACACCCACTCAAGGATGCAGCTAAGGGCTCTCCACAAAGTTCATTTTAAGTTGGATTCATTTATCATCACTCCATTCTCAAGCAAAATACCCATTAAGGGGTTGGGTTTTTCATCCTCAAATAGTGTAGTGACCCTGCCAGGCCCCTGGGAGCACTGAGAGCCCAGCATGTCCCAGCCGTGGCGCCAGGCTGCAGGTACTATGGGTCACTGCACCGTGAGGGTGGAGCCTGATGTCTGGAGAGACCGTGAGGCCAGCATGGGCAGGGCCGTCCTCCAGGGCCACAGGCTGTAGGTTATGCTCAGCCACGTCACTCCATATGCCTGACCTGCATTGTCTCCAGCCATGGGGCTTCGCTTGTGGGCCAAGTGGTAGCTGTGGTGGCTGGAGCCCCCTGTCCAGAGCCACAGAGGGTGGGCAGGCCTGGGGCAGAGAGGGGTGGTCACATGCCACTACAGCAACAGCCCTGGGGCTGGACACTGTGGGAGGGGAGGCGCCAGCGCAGCCACACACCTGCATCACTGCTCACAGAGGTGTTCTAACCATGGCCGGGTGGAGGGTCCCAGCAGAGTCAGCAGCTCAGCAAGCTGAGACAGATGACGCCTGGTGCTGCTCGCCCAGCACAGGTTATCATTGCACCTCGAAAGTAAAAGCTAAAAGAAACAAACACAGCTCGACAGTTTCCTCTGTAAAGGATGAGTTTACTGGAAGGTACCATACGAGAACTAAAATCTAGTTTCACAGAAAATTAAGTTTGATATTAAAAACTTAAATTGTGAGTTTGCTTCATATTCTAGACACTTGCACATGTGCGTTCTTTCTGTGGATAACTCTGGGCGTTCGCAGGCACCTTGGGGCAGAGCACTGAGCCCGCTGACCCTCTGCCTGTCTCCCCAGCTACCCGTACAGCGAGGACTCCCGCCGGGGTGAGCAGTACATGAACACCCGCTGTCCGGCCTGGTGTGACCGCATCCTCATGTCCCCGTCCGCCAAGGAGCTGGTGCTGCGGGTGAGTGTGCCCTGCCCAGGGCCCACGGGGAGGCCGAGGCAGCCAGGTCAGACCCAGTGCTGTCCTTGTCCTGGGTCACCTCCAGGCCAGTGCTCAGACTTGAGGCAACGGCAGACATAGCATCTCTGGGCTGTGACCAGCCCAAGTCTCTCTGAGTCTGAAACACACAAATGGTCATCAGTTGGTGTTTTTAAAATCATAGTTTGTTGTGTTCTTGGGAATTAAATGTGCTCTTGTCCATAAGAGAGCTTTTGGCTGTAGAACATGGTAGAAATGTCTATAGTTATTTTTCCACCTTGTAAGTCAGAGCCAGAATCATATTTGGGCTTCATAAATTAAAAATGAGTGGATGACATTTTCAGGAGATAACCTAGTGCAGTGGTGTTAGGGAATTTTCAGATCTCTGTGATTTTTCAGTCCCCACACTTTAACCAGAAGGAGCATTTTCAGAAAAATCAATATCAGGAGTGGTTTTCTCAACCCCATCAGTGAAACACACAATCACGGTATACAGGGTTCTCAGCACCATGCCACGGGCCAGCACTCACCAGGCAGCTGGAGACTCCAGCTGCCCTGCAGTGGGCCTGGGGCCTGCAGGCTCTGTCCTCCAGACCTCACTGGCCCAGAGCAGGCGTAAGACGCCCCCATCCAGCCCCTAGCCTCAGCAAGGGACTATGTCAGGCCAGCCACCCTGAGCTGCCAACTGTGCCCTGTGCCAAATGGCACCAGACCCTGGTCCCTCACGGTGAGCCCTATATCATAATCTCTGTCCTTGGGGGCAGCAAGCTTCCTGAGGTCAGGGGACCCATTCAGGAAGGGCAGTGCCTGCACACCCCACCAGCCTGATTTTCCAGAGGTTGTGTCTATTGGGCCCAGCTGCCTTGCCACCCTTTCACGTGCTATAAGTGTCCTAGGCCCAGCATTGCCAAGGGCCTGGCTGTGGGGGGAATCTGCTAGGCACTCACCTGGGTTGGAGGCCAGGGCCTCTTGGCCAGAAGCCCCTGTGCCTGCAGCAAGCCTGGCTCTGATGAGCGTGAGGGCTACAGCAGCACTGCTTTCTGGCCTTGGGGAAGGGCCTGTGCCCAGGTGTGATACCCAGGAAGGGCCACCCTGGCAAGGCCTCACTGCATGAAGCTGTCCAGACACTGGCCGTAGCCCCAAAACAGCCAGGCCTTGGGCACGGCCCTGCCCTCTGGCCCCATGCAGAAGTTAGACAGGACAGCCACACAGTGTCCACAGGCCCCCGCCTGCTGGCCCTGAGCAGCAGGGTGTGTGGAGCTGGGGCTGCTGTGGGAATGGGAACCTCCCAGGGCTTCAGTGGAAAGACACACACCATCCAGCAGAACAGTGTCTGATATCACAAAGCCTGTGTTTGGCAGCCAGCTTCCTAAGAACAGAGGGCCAGTGGCCGTCCCTGCACCGAGGGCTGAGACTTTAGCCAGCTCAGAGGTGGGCAGCAACATAGCCTATTGCTCACATCTTCTCTGGGCCTTTGGACACAGACTTTGATGTTTTAACCTGATGGTGGGAGACAAGAGCCCTACCATCCCCTCAGGTTGGTGAGGGGCTAGAGCCTGGAGGCCTCTCCATGGGCTGCCCAGCAGGCGGCCAGCAACCCGGCCAAGCAGATCGCCACCATGGGCGCCTCTGTGGCATCATCCATCATGACACGCCCCGTCACCTCATCACGGGCTCTGTTCTGCCTCCCCAGCCCCAAACACCAAAGGTGGCTTGAGGTGCAGGCGGCCGGCTGCCGGGGAGCCTCGGTGACGAATGCTCGGCGAGCTGTGCCGCGCTCTGCCTACGCCTGTGGTAATTTGTTTATCTGTCCAAAGATTATGCAGTTGAAAATTCACAATTTTATGCTGCCTTTGTAAATTACCACGCTGCGTTTGATGGATGTTTCCCCACTTCGGAGGAGGCGCATCTCGCCCTGAAGGATGGGAAGTGCTCATGCGTGCGGCGCTGAGCCCGTGTTTGTACACGTCCTGGTGGCAGCTGTGTGGGAAAGTCAATCTGACCTCACGCTCCCACAGCGTTAAAGATGATTCAGTTTTAACTTGATAGTCTCGAAACCTTCAGCTGTGGATATAAAATTCCAGCCCTGCCAGAACTGACGGATACCAGCAACAAACTCTGCCATGGTGCCCACGTGAAAGGCCCTCAGGCTAATTAATATGCACAGATGGCTCTGTGTGGTGGTGTGGAATCCTGTGTCCCCCTTTGAACAGAGTTCTGAGTTAATGGAACAGGCTGTCAGACACAAATGCAAATAGAGAAAATGGGAAATAGATGAGCTGCTCCTGTCAGGGGTGTGCTTGAGAGGCAAGTTTAGAGCTATGCTGATTGCAGTGCATGGAGGGGCCCCACCTCCCAGGAATCCAGGAGCATGGCCAGGGTCACAAAGGAGAAAGCCCATGAGCAGGGTCCTGGTGCCCCACCCTGTCCTCCTAGAAGTAGGCTTCCTCTTCTACCAGAGTAGCCAGGGCCACCAGAAACTTGCGTCCATGGGCTCGCTGCTATCTTTCAGGGGCCAGCAGAGCCCCAAGGGACAGGGGGCAGGGCAGGTGACAGGGTCACTGTCAATGCCTCTTGGCCCCCCCACCTGCCTGGTGCCCCCAGCACCCTTAACACCGGCTTCTCTCTGTTTCCTTTCCCAGTCGGAGAGCGAGGAGAAGGTTGTCACCTACGACCATATTGGGCCCAATGTCTGCATGGGAGACCACAAGGTGACATAAGCTGCGCTGTGGTCTGGGGGCCAGTGGGGGGCAGCAGGCTGTGGCTCTTTAGTCTGACTACGGAGTAAGCAAGTTGGTCTTTACTTAATTTTAACAAAATACCAAAAGATAGATAGGCAGGAAGAAGGCAGAAAAAGACTTCACAACAGAATATGATACCTAATTTCCTATTTGTGGAAAAAATAGTGTATCTGCAGCTGATTATTTCTGAAGGCTGTTTTTTGAGTGTGTTTGAACCGTTTAAGGGCCTTCTTGTGCTAAACTGACCATCTGCAGTGGGGAGTCGGGTGAGCACAAGTATCACAGACCCAGGGGGTTAGGGGATAACACCATTACTTGTACAGATTATTTATACAGGTGACTGTACCTAAAACAGAACAGCCCCATACAGGTGACAGGTCATGTCCCATTTTCAGCCAAATTAAATGAATTCACTTCTACCTTCAAGGCCTCTGAACCATGAGCTCTGAGTCCATCTTCATGTGATGTCTCCACACCCTCTGGGGGAGATCTAAAGGCACAGCTCTTCCCCCCCTCCCCCGCACCCCCCATTGATGTAGATCAGTTTTCACATTAATTCTTATCTGGAGGTGACATGAAGGGCCATCTCAGGCCTCTTGAGGCTGGCGCCGGGCAGCAGCCCCCGGACAGGGCAGCTTGGCCTGCTGCTCATCAGTTCCTCTGGACATGTGTGAAGCCAACCTCCTGAGGTGCAGGGTCTGGGATCTGGGGGGTGCGGCTGCCGTTTCCATGCACATGCTGACCTCTGCTCTCCCCGCAGCCCGTGTTCCTGGCCTTCCGCATCGCGCCCGGGGCAGGTAAACCTCATGCACATGTGCACAAGTGCTGTGTTGTGCAGTGACGTGGTGGTAAATATGCCTCCTTCCCTCCAGTCACCTTTCTCTGCAGCTTTTCCTGGTGTGTTTGTTCCTTTAACAAATTACCAATTCCATGACAGGGAAGAGATGCCAGCGCCATGAGAGGGTCCTCGGCGAGACCTCCCTGTAGCAGTAAACTGAACCGTGTACTCTTATCAGCTGCATCGAAACCCGCCCGAGCACCACCTGCTAGACGGCCGGCCCCACACTTCGCTTCAGCCTCCGGACCATTCCGGAAAAGCCTCACATACCTCACTGTCTTGTCTGTTCATGTGACATAAGTAGAAATATTGGGTTTTTTAAATAAGTCACAGTCCTGTTGCCAAAACTCTAACAGACAGCAAAGAAATCTGTACCTTAGACTTCCCAGTTTCGGTCTGTGGTCGTCCGCAGAGGGCTTCTCCAGCACAGGGACCCCCAGAGGCCAGCGGCCCTGCCAGGCGCAGGCGTGTCCGGGGCTGGGGAGGTGGGGGCGGTGCTCCTGCTGTCCCTCCGATGCCCTCCCTCGTGGTATTTCCTCTGTGCTGTGTCACTTGGTTTTTGAATCACACTGCAGCTGCTTTCCATTTTTATATATATAAATATATATAAATATATACTTTTTAAAAATAATTTATAAGTCTTACCAAAACTTATGCTAAATATACTTTCCAGAATGAATGCACAAGAGTGTCATATCAGCAGGTAGAAGTGGCATCTAGGAGTTCAGCTTCCCGTCTGTCCACACACGAGGTCAGAGGGCGAGTGTGAGCTGCAGGCCCACCTGGGCAGAAGCCTCCGCAGCACTTGCTGGCGCCTGTGACCCCTCTGCCTTTCTCTGTGTAATAGCAAGAGCTGAATGTAAAGTTTAGAACTAGCCTGGGTGTACCTTTTAAGAATTTTGTAAACTGTTTGTCTTTTGTTACTGTTTTATGGTGCCAAGTATTCTACAGTTAAACAATAATATCATGGGAGAAATAGAAATAGCCTAGTCTGCTTCCAGTGCGAACTGCTCTTAACATGGGCTGTATATAAGAATATTAAAGAGAAACAAAACTGTACATTTCCTCGGTTGCTCTGCTATATACAACCTAAGTAATAACCTTGTTGCAAATATTTTTCTCCTAGCACTAAGTATAGCATTAAAAGGCGATTAGAGAGTCTGTTGACGAAACACAAATGTATGTTTTATTGATTTTACTTTAGAACACTACAGAGTTCCTGGACTGGGTGAAGGCGTTAGATCGATGTTTGTTTTTTATATAAATCACTACCATTGCCAGTGGTTTGGTGTCTGCTTGCCGATTCTGTGTTCCTGATGATACGGTCAGCCTGTGTAGTGCCACGGCCACTGTCGGAGCGGCCGCAGTCCGGGCACAGGGCGAGTCTGTCCAGCGGTTTCAGCTGTTGAGCTGTGGTCGCTGAGGGCCTCAAGAAGTGACTGCTCTGGTTCCTAAGCAATAAAATTGATCCTGGTGACAAAACTCCTGCCTGGGCTCTGCGCTTCCTTCCATTGTCCCCTCACCTTTGAAATGCTGAGCAAGGGGAGGGCCCTTCTCACACCCTCATTAGGACTCCTGGAATGTCACTGAACCAGACACTAGCAAAAACATTTAGCCATTAGTTGGGAGTAGAAAAATAATCTTTTTGGCTTATAGTAGTAAAGGATTTATCCCTCAACATTTATTTATAAATGGGATTGTGTAAATGCTTTGCTTTCCTCAGAACTGTAAAACTAGCAATTCCTGTGCTCTTAACTGGACCAGACAAGCTCGCAGGGTAGCAGGCCTGGTGCCTTTAAATATTACTTCCTTTTAAAGTGAACTGACAGTGGTTTGAAAATTGATGGTACAGCCATGTGACAAAAGAAGCAAACAAATTTAAACATTTTATGTTTCCTTTAACATTTTCAAAAGGCTTTCCAAGAGAAATCTTACAGTTGCAGTATTATAATTACTGACATTTAATTTTTGAAGTTAAAACTCCACAGTTATGCCCATTAAGATTCGGCTACAAAGCCTTCCCCCAAAGGCTGCGCTGGTAGCTCCTCAGCGCCCCACTAGTGACTTACTTGGTGGTGGAAGCCGGGGAGGTGCCAGGGTGACTGTGTCCTCCAGGCTGGGCCAAGGGGTGCTGCAGTGCTCGTGGTCCGTTGTCCAGCTCAGGCGGGAGGCGCTCTGGGGGCCAGCAGTCAATCCCGGGTGACCCGATGTTCTGGCCATGCCTTCCACCGCCCTCAACCCGGACTCTACTAGGTTCAGGGTCGCTCATCCCTGCGCAGGCAAATTATTTTGGCTTTTTCTCTGCAGTCCTACTTTGAACGAAATAGTGCTTTCTGCCAGTGAAGTCTCTTGAGAATGGTAGCTGAAGGGCCGCTGTGCACAAGAATTTAAAACCTGATTTCACCCGATGTGGTTCACTACGCACCTACTAGGCGGCATGACGTGTAGGCACTCAGCGCTCCCCTGCAGAGAAGGGACGGCTGACAGGGACGGGGGCGGCTTGCCCTTACCCGCCCTTTCCAGAGCCCCCAAGTGTGTCTGAGTTTGCCCCAAGCCTCCGACCGCACCTGCAGCTCCGCTCCGGCTGCAGCTCCTGCCTGTGCGGCCAAGGGGCGCAGGCCAGGCTGCCCTAACGCGCGGCCATCGCAGTGTCCGCACTCCTATGAGCGGCCTCCGCACTGTAATGCGCGGGACGCGGGGCCGGACTGCCATCCCGCGCAGCCGCCCAGCCTGACCTTCGCCAGAACCAGGGGCCCCTCGGGCTGGTGACCAGACCCCGACCTGGCAGGGGCTTCCCTGACGCCCGCTCACGGTGGCCTAGCCGCTCAGGGGCGCCTCGCTCTGGGCTCAATACGCAAGAAACACGCGGTGCAACCTTGGGAGCCGCGACTCCGACCGGGACGTGTTAAATAATTTATTGATGATACAAAGTGATTCCACCCAGGACGCGCAGCCGAACCCTGCGCCCACGCAGAGGAACTGTCTCAGCACACTTAAGCCCAAGCCGGACTGCTTTATAACTTATTCTGCAAAAATATATATACACACTCTGGCGCGGGCGGCTCACGTCGGGGCGCCGCCCCGCGTCCCGTACCCTGGTTGCTCTGGCCTGGCCGCCGCATCCTCATGAGGCGTCCCCCGCGCTGCCGCCGCACGGACTGACCAGCGCCAAGTTCGAGGGTTTGTGCTTCTTGAGCAGCCGCGTAATCTTCTCGTCGTCCGAGTTTGGATCCAAAGGCCGGTTGTACTCGTCGTCGTCCTCCGCGTCCGAGCTGCCCACCTTCAGCTTCTCGGCGTCGGAGTCCTGCTTTTTCTTGGCCGACGCCATCTCCGCCGCGTGCCGCTTGCGCCACTTGGTCCGGCGGTTTTGGAACCACACCTGGGGGTCGGAGAGGACCGTCAGCGGCGCCGGCCGAGGCTCGACCCTCGGCAGCGCGACCCTTGCCCGGCCCGGGTCGACCCGCCGTCCGTGCGGGCGCGAGGGACAGGCTCAGGCTGCTCAGCAGCAGCGCCTCCGGGGCGGCCATTCGCAGGACGCGGGCAGCCGGGGTCTGCTTCCCGCGCAGGGGACGCCCCTGGCCTGGCCGCGCTCACCTTAACCTGGCTCTCGGTCATGCCCAGGGAGTAAGCGAGCCGCGCGCGCTCCGGGCCGGCCAGGTACTTGGTCTGCTCGAAAGTCTTCTCCAGAGCGAAGATCTGCTGGCCGGAGAAGGTCGGTCGCGAGTGCTTCTTCTTGCCGTCCTTGTCCAGGCCCCCGCCGGCTTGCGCTGCAAAGGAGGGCGGGTGAAAGCGACCCGGACCCCGCGCCCCACCCCGCAGCCCCGCGCGGGCCACTTACCCGGGCCGGCCAGACGCGGGTCCCTCCAGGGCGAGCCCTGCACCACGCCGGGCCAGAAGATGGGCGGACGCCCAGGCAGCTCCGCCAGCGGCTTGGGGTAGCCGCGCGCCACGGCGGCCGCGGGTCCGAAGTAAACGCCGGCAGAGGATGCGAGCCCGTTGAGGCGGGGCAGGCCGCCCAGGAGACTACCGCCCGCCGCGCCCACGGGACGCCCCAGGATGTCGCTGATGCCGTGCGGGGTGCCGAGCGGCAACTGCGCGCCCAGGCCGCCCAGCGCGGGAGCCTTGAAGCCGGCGGGGCCCTGCAGCGCGTACGGGAACAGCGACGTCTTCATCTCTGCCATGTTGTGCAGTGCGGCCAGCGGCGCGCTGCTCAGCACGAACGCGCCCGGGCGGTTAGCGTCCATGGGCACCGCGGCCGCCGCCCCGAGCGCCCATCCGGGCCCCGCCGCCGCCTGCGCCCGCCGGCCAGAAAGTTTGCGCGCGGCCCGGGGGCGTCGGCTGCAGGGTGGCGCGGGGCGCGGACGCCGACGGCCCAGGCGGGCGGCGGGCGGGCCGCTCAGGCACGGGAAGGGAAGTGGCTAGGGAGGCAGCGGGCGGCGGCTGCAGCGGCTCCGGGACCGGTCGGAGCGGCGCCGCGCGGGACCGGCGCGCTGATAACCCGAGGGCCCCTGGCGCGGCTCGCGCGCTGATTGGTTGCTGGCGCCGGCGGCCAGGCCATTGGCCAGCGCCCCGCCCGTCTGCGCGCGCCCCCGCCGGCCGCGCACTCCATGAAGGGCCCATTAGCTCGGCAGGTGCCTCCGGGGCTGTAAATTTGCCCCCTGATTTATCTCCCAGGGGACGAAATAAATCCCCTGGATGGGAGTTTAGTTAGGCAAAGGTTTTAATGGGAAATCGGGAAAAAATACGACAACATATTTTATCGCCGGAAAGAATGCAGATTTGAGAATCCAGCCGACGCGCTCACAGCGTCCCATTTGAGCAAGAGCCCCACGCGGTGGGAGCAGAGATTTGGTAGTGCCGACGGGGCCACCGCCCGGCCCCTCCCTGTCACTCCGTACCCTCCCTGGTCCCCGTTGGTGTGGGGCGGCCGAGAATGTTTGCAGATGTTCTCGTGGTGGAACCGGGCCGCAGAAAGGCGGAGGAAGCCCAGCTTTCGGAGTTCTCGGTCTTAAAGGCCAGACTTGGCTCTCAGGAATTTGACCAATAAACAGCCAACCTGGTGGCGGACCGAGCCTGGTCCCAGAGCACCAGGCGCTGCCTTGCACTCGCGCCCTGCAGGGCGGTTCCCCATCCCCGCCTCGGAGTGGGGATACAAGGACCGCCAGGACCTCCCCATTGGGAGTCTCCGTGAGGATTCGGGTCTCCTGTTGGGAGTTATTGGGAGGTAACCCGAGCTGGTGCTGAGACCAGGCCCCAGGACTCCGCCCACGGGCTTTCTCTCGGAATCGAAGCTTCAGCCGGGAGAACCAGAGCCCCGGGCACCCTCAGAGCTCCAAAGCTCAGGAGCGCGTGGGGCACCACGTTCAGGAGCTCGACATGGGTGCGCGGTTAAGCCAGTGGGCAGAAGCGCAAGTTTTAGACCCACTTTTGGGGCCTTCCTTCGGACACGAAGAGTCTCTCGTCCGATGCTGTGAGGGTCCAAATGAAAGGCAGTCGAGCACCTGCGGAGGGGCAGGCGCTGAGCCAAGGCTGGGCATTGTCGCCTGTCCTCACTGGCGGTGTCACATACCGATTTAGGAGGTGACTATTACTGTTATCCGCTGCCCGGTGGAAACTATGACCCGCGAATGTGCAAATGGACCACCGCTTCGTGGCTAGGGGCTGTGCGCACGACGTCACCTCTCCGTGGTCGCTGAGCAACGACTTCCTCGTTTTGCCCCGGTCGCCAGGACTTTGGTGCTGCGGAAGATGACCACCCTCGCGGCTCGGGGCAGGGGTCTAGTGACCACTCCAGCCACTTCCCTCCTAGGTCCATTTTCGTTTAGTGCAGACAGCCGTGGGGGCTGGGCGCCGCAGGGCTCACCTCCAGCTCTCTGCTTTGAAGGCCACTGCCTCCAGGACTGGGGGTCAGTTCTGTGGTCGCCCTTGCTTCATGTGTGCGCGCACGGGGCTGCCCTGGAGACGCGGCGAGCCGCGTTGGTCTCCGAGAAAGTGGAATGAGGCCTGGCCAACACCGGGGTTTCACTCATCCTGCGTATCTGGACGGGTTTCCGTTCCTGGAATCCAACTGGGCTTGGCCGTCGGCCAGAGACCAGCAAGAGCAGAGCGCGGTCCGGGCACCAGGAGAGCCCTGAAGACCTCTGCGCTGCGGTCGGGACCCAGTCCGTGAGCCCAGAGACTTACGCCTGAGATGTGTGTGCTCCAAGGGCCCGGCCACAGGGAGAACCTTCTCTGGTAAGATTTGGGCCCCTATGGGGTCCCCCTCGGCGAAGGCGCGCGCCAAGGCTTGAGTTGTGAGTCTGGAGCAAAAGCTGTCGGCTTAGGGGAGGGGCCGAGTGAGGCGGGGCCGGCTCTGGCCTCCAGATTCCCCACTCTGCGCGACTTGGCAGACATTAGACTCAGTCCTCTGGGGAGGACCGTGAAGGGCGCAGGTAGCCCAAATAGGGACAGGAAAGGCGCTCTAGGGTGGACGGCACGTGCGCTCTTTTCTCCTTCGAGTTTCCGGAGACCCAGATGCACAGGCAGAAAAAGCGCTAGGTGGGGCGCGCTTGGGCTACTCTTGCGCCTCTGCGGGGCCTGGTTAGCACTGACTTACCGCTAGGGAGCAGAGACCCTGAGGCGCTGCCGTGCGCCCAGGAGAATCGGCGTCTCTCTGCGCTGCTGTGTCCTCCCCGGGCTGCGAACGAAACGCATGGGGTCCCGAGTGGGGCTGCCCATCCCACCAGCTTCAGCGTGCACTGCAACCCGGGAGCCAGTGGCCAGGGATGCAGGAAGAGTCCCAGAGTGCAGGATGGGGAGGGTGGACTAGAGTGAGTTGAGCGTGCCAGAGGTGCAGGCTAAGGGCAATCCCTTCTCCACACACAATCTTATAGCTAGGTGAGCTATCCGCTGTCCTGCGGGTGCGCCGTGTTTCCTAAATCTGTGCCCCAGATCGCTGGACGCCTCCCGTGGGGTTCCCCCCCATCCGGTACTATGAGCGGGACTGTAACGGCTTCACTTCCTTCTCTTCCCTGCGTGCCAGCTCTGGGCCTTCTGGTGTCCCCTCCTGCTTCCCGGCACCAGATGCCGCTCTCTCTTTCAGGTCAAAGGAGTTGCCCCCTCCTCCAGGGGCTGTCGGGGAGAGCCCCCTACAGAGGTGCGGACGCCTCCGGCTCCCTCCACAGCCGCGTTTCGCAGCCGTGGAGAGGTTCCGCGATGCCACCTCCTGGTCTTGGAGAAGAGGTCCGGAAGGAAGGCTGCAGCACTTTCCACGCACACGGAGCTCATCGTTGAAAAATGCAGGGTGTATTATTTGGCAGAGACTATTCAACATTTGTTTTATGTATTCAGCATTTATTTGTTGGCACCTACTACGTGCCAGGCTGGAGAGAAACGTGAACACAGTGAGCTCCTGCCTCCGGGTGCCCCAGCTCCCCTGGGGCGGATAATTAACAGCATGTGTTGAAGGGAATGATTGATTGGGTGAGAGGTGGCTCAGGGCAGGTGCTCTGGGGAGGAGGGCCACCTGGGTCAGCAGGTGTCCAAGCCCTCTGTGTGTGGTGATGGGAAGGGGACAGGCCAGGTCAGGAGGACTCACGAAAGAAGCTGGGATTCTGCCTTCCCGCGCAGAGGCGGCTACAGGATCTCACGCAGCCCTTAGGGAGCGCTCAAGTGTCTCCAAGCAGCTGCGGGCCCCTGACCAGCCTGCGGGGGGGCTGGGGTCCCTGGGGCAACCTTCTGCAAAGGGCCTTGGCTCTGTTCTGCACGCACGTGTGAGCAAGTTCCCCACCTCCACAAGCTAGCGAGGCCCCGCACCGGCGGGCACTTCTCCCGGACAGGGCCAGAACACAAAAGGACCACGGAGACAGCCAGGCAGACCTCCGAGACTGCCGCAAAGAGGTCTCAGGGATGGAAAAGAGGGCTGGGGTGACCAGCCAGAGCTTGACGAGACCCCTCCAGAGCTGGGGCCCAGACCTGGGTGGGAGACGCCGTCCTCTTCCGCAGTGGGGACCTCGGAGGAGCCCTGCGGGTGGCTCTGCGATAGCTGGAGGCAGCGGTGGTGCAAGCGCAGGACCGGGATGGGGAGTGGGCAGCCCTGACCCCTTGGTAGCGCCCTTGTGGCAGACCTGAAGCCTTCTTGACCCCCACCCCCACAGCCTCTGAGCTGAGGGCGGAATCCTAGTTTCTTTCATGCTAGTCCTCCTGACTTGGCCTGTCCCCTGCTTTACTGCCCAGTGGGCTACACCCATGTCACCTAGGCCCCAGTAGTCCCACCCAGGCGCTCCGCGGCCACTTGCCCACTCTTCCCGTCTTTGCATGTGGCTCCCTTCTCTGCTAGGGTCTCAACTGAGGGAATGCTGTTGAGTGAATGGAGGAACCCACAGCCTCAGGCTCAGAGGGAGTCCCCAAGGCCTGATGTAAGGTCTGGGAGAAGGGCACCGTATGTTCACTCACAGCCCAGGGGCTGCCCAGGTGTGGATGGGCTAGTGAGGAACCTGCAAGGGCAGTCTGGGACCCCTCTGCCTCAGCCTCCTGAGCTGGGAGGGTGTCCCTGTCTGAGCCTAGGCAGCTGGGGCCCAGCTGTGGGCCACATGTCCACTGTGCCCCTCAGCCTGGGCCATGGAGGCACCTTCACCCACAGCCTCTTGCTTACTTGCCAACATGTCCGAATGTGGCTGGGGACAAAGCCTTGGGGACAGTGAGGCTGCTTCTCCCGATGGGGGCTGTGTCAGGATAGGGAGGAAACTTCAGCTGAAGCCAGGTGGGCAATACTCTCCCCAGAAGGTCCCAGCCAGGCCCGGGGACTCAGGGACACTGGTGTATGGGAGAGGGCCCAAAGGCGAGCTGAGGATGAGGCTGGGAGTGTGAGGGGCACCCAGGCAGCTCACCCTGCCCTAGCAGGAAGCAGGCTGGCCTACAGCTGGTGCTGGGGGAGGGACAGCTCCCTAAGCTCCCCCAGACCCCCTCTGGCCTGGCCTTGTCCAGCCTCTACAGCCCCTCTGGCCTTCCTGGGCCCAATGCTCCACCCACAGCCTAGGACTGACAGAGAGTGTCCTACCTTGTAGACCCCTATCCCCCACTCCCAGCCTCACGCCGCCCTCAGCCCCCCACCCCCAGCCCTTACACCAGCTCCTTTGATTTCTTTGAGTTCCCACCATCAAACATGAGTTTCTTCCTTTTTTTTTTTGAGCTGGCTCCACTTTCTTCTCAGGAGGGAAATGCTTTGAGCTGCCCCCAAGAGCCACCTATGCTCACCATGTGTGGATCCCATACTGTGAGCTTCCCACGCTGATGGTGAGAGTGCCAACTCCTCACCCCGGGTGTCCCAGGTGGGGAAGGA